ATAACATTACACATTATTTATATTATCCGAATACCTGCCGCCAAACACGACTCTTAGTTCTTTAGTTCACTGGCTTGAAGGTATCCCATTTGCACAGCTCGAATTTCTTGTGCTTCTGCGTAATGAATCCATCAGCTTCCGCATCAATAGTTTTATCTTTGGAATTTTCGGTTTTTTCATGTTCGACAAAATGAACTTTCTTTTGCACCACCTCAGGGGCCCGATTGTTCTCGTGATTCACACGGGAAATTTTCCCCTTACGGTCGTCGTTCTTTTCAACATGTGGCGAGTTGCTGTTGAAAATTCTATGCATTCTTGTGATTTTTTCGAGATATTCATCGGTGGAGAAACGAGAGTCGCCACCGTGGTAGCTGCTGAACTCGTAGTTTCTCTGCATGTTTTTTTTTTTTTTTTTGTGTCTCGCTTAGCGCTCTTGTTCTTCGGGAAATATATGTGATTACAAGCTAAGGAATTTATAGATGGTGACTTATAGAAAAAGATATTCTTTTTTTGTCATGCATGAATCTGATGCTCCCTCTTTAGTCAGTTTCAAATATTTTGCTGTTTTTGGAATATATAATTCATGGGTAATTGTTAGAAACTTGTTTGAGCTCGATTCATGTTGGGCTTGATTAAAGCTCGTTTCAAGCTGACTTGACCGATAAACGTTACATGTTTGACTCGTCTCGTATTTACACTACAGACTATTAACTGTCAATGACTTTTAACAACAGCTTCATAGAGTTCTGTGATCGATGGTGAAGGTTACACCTGATGGATTTTTATCGTTGATCTACACGCACTAACATGGATGTGTGTGTGTTTGTGTGTAAATGAATGTAAAGATCTACTTAGTGTATTTCACCCAGTGGAGCATACCACAGACCGTAATCGTAAATTAGGAATATTATCAAATCACAAAAAGATTAACTTTTCTTCGGTGGATTGGTCAATAAGGAACTTTGACTATTTGCGCATAATCCGAATGTTATGCATACATTAATGCGTGGAGAATCGGATGCTTCGACAGAACCATGCATTACACAAAAGGTGTAAATGATTCGTCGAAGTGGAGTGGTTGAGCCAACATACGGTCATGGCTAACAAACTTCGTATTATATTGAAACGGTGTTAAGGTCAAAAGTCTGAAAACTAACGGCGATGGCCACCTTGAGACAATTTTTCAAGTAAGGAGGGCAAATCGATGCAATTGAGAGTAGAAGGGGGTAAAGTGATATCGAGCCAAAGTACAAGGGGGCAAATCGATGAATTGAGAGTAGAAGGGAGTAAAGTGATATTGGAAAATCGATGCAATTAAGAGTACAAGGGGGTAAAGTGATATCCAGCCAAAGTACAAGGGGGTAAAGTGGAATTTACCCTTTTTTTTTTTTTTTGAGGTTACGTTTTTTTAAGTGATTTTTAGTTGTTAGTTTAGCTTACGCAAATTGTTAAGATAATTCGTTGGAAATTTTACTTTGAAACTTCTTGTGTTTCTGCTTAATGAATCCATCAGCTTCCACATTAATAGTTTTATCTTCGTAATTTTCGATCTTTTCATTTCGACAAAATGAACTTTCTTGTGCATCTCTGGGCCCGATTCTTCTGATGATTCATACGCGAAATGTTTCCCGTTTCGTTTTCGTTTTTTTTTCTACGTGTGAAGAGTTTTTATTGTTGTTGAAAATTCTCTGCATTCTTGTGATTTTTTTTTGAGATATGGAGAAACGGGAGTCGCCACCGTGATAGCTGCTGAATTCATAGTTTGCATGTTTTTTTTTAGGATAAAATGCACTTCACCCCTATACATTTTTCATTTTCGCACTTTCGCCCCTAAAGATTAAAAAAAAGGATAATTCCCTTACGAAATATTATATTGGTTGCATTTTGCCCCAAAAGCCAATTTTTGGAGGACATTGTGCAACATAAATAATTAAAGGTGAACGTGCAAAAAGTAATGTTTTTAAGGAACAGTGCACAACAAAAATAACATTTCAAGGGGCAACATGCAACAAAAATACTCAATTCCAATGAATAATAGATCGAAATTTTGCTATCCGGGCAATGTGCAACAAGTATAACATTTTGAAGGGGGGCATTCACTTCTTAAAATTTTGAGGGGATAACGTGCGAAAATTAGAAATTTACAGGGAGTGATGTGCAATTTGCAATTTTTTTTTTAATCTCACTTAGCACTATTTTTCTTTCAAAAATATGTGATAACAAGCGGGAAAATTACATTTTTCGTCCTCATACTTTACTCACTTTTCCAAAACTGTCCCTAAACATTTTGGAGTTACAATAGTAGTCCTTAATCATGCCATTTTTTGACAGAATTGGTCCGCCGTTAGTTTTTGCCGTTAAGTTGGATGGAAAATGGCATGTGCCTCTCACATGCCTTCAATTTACAACACTACATGAAAATGGACTTTCAACAACACGCATTACATCTTGTTAAAACATATTTTTTTTAATTCTTATTTTTAATTAATTAATATAAAAATGAAATCACGTAAATTCCAAAAAAATCAACTCATTCCGGAAATACTGTTTAAAAAATCAAAATATAGTTTAAAATTTTAAAATATTGTTCCAAAATCGGCATTTTGGGAATTCAATTAAAATATATCGTTCCTAACCAAAATAAAAAAAAACCCGATAGGAATTGGGGAATTAGAAATCTCCATTCCAATTTTCACCTCCAGTCAATTCCAAAAATCCCAATTGTGAGACAATATGTCGAGTTTTAAATCATTCAATATGAGTGAAAATTGGAAATGAGTTTTCTTATGCCGCCTAGTTTGATCGAATTTTTATTTTATTTTAAACTAATATTTTCATTCAATTTCCAAAAATTCCGATTTTAACTTATTTCTTTAGACAATATTATGATTTTTTAAACAATATTTTTGAATTTATTTTGAAAAAAAATATCGAGTTTTAGATTATTACATAAGGGTGAAATTTGGAACGGAGTTTTCTTACTCCGACTATTACGATCAGATTTTTATTTTATTTAAAACAATAATTTTCATTTGGATTCAAGAAATTCCGGTTTTAAAACATTATATTATTATTTTATACAATACTTCTAAAAATATTTGGAAATAATATATCGAGTTTTACATTATTAAATTAGGGTGAAGATTGAAATGGAGGTTTCTTATCTCACCTATTCGGATCGAATTTTTATTTTATTTTGAAACAATGTTTTCATTTGAATTCCGAAAATCTTGATTTTAAAAGCAATATTTCATTTTTTTAAACAATGTTTCAATTGTTTAAATATTATTTCTCAAAATATTTTAAAACAATATTATCGACTTTGCTTTTTTGGATGTTATATAATTTCGAATTTCAATCAAGTTTTAATTATGAAAAATATGTTTTAACAAGACGCAATGCGTGTTGTTGAAAGTCAATTTTCATGTAGTGTTGTAAATTGAAGGCATGTGAGAGGCACATGCCATTTTCCATCCAACTTAACGGAAAAAACTAACGGCGGACCAATTCTGTCAAAAAATGGCATGATTAAGGACTACTATTGTAACTCCAAAATGTTTAGGGACAGTTTTGAAAAAGTGGGTAAAGTATGAGGACGAAAAATGTAATTTTCCCGATAACAAGCTAAAGAATTTATAGATGGTGATTTGTCAAAGATATTATTGTTTCAAATATTTTGCTGATTTTTGGAATAATTCATGGAGAGAGAGAGTAGTGGGAAATGATTGTTAAAAGAACTCGTTTGAGCTCGATTTGTTAACACGATAATCCATGAAAACAAATTTTCCTTTGATAAGATATAAAGCTTTGGTTCGACCTCCATGAACAAAAAATATTATATTAAAAAATCAAACTACTTTAGCTCAATTTACTTGGGCTCGATTAAAGCTCGACTAAACTGATAATTCGACTCGTCTCGATTTACAACCCCGTATAGATTAAATTCTGTTAACTGTCAATGATTTTCATGAGGTAAACAACATCTTCACAGAGGTGTTAGGCAGTTATGTGGATTGGTCAATGAGGAACTTTCGTTTTTTGCTTATACTATACGCTCGAATATCACACACGCGTTAATGTGTGACGAATCGAATCCTTCTAGGGGACCATGGGTAATACAAAGGTGTAAATTATTAATACATCAGATAAAAAAAATAAAAAATTAACACTTACTTTCAACAAAATTCATTTGGGAAAAATACAGTTTTCATCTGCAAGTTTATACACTAATTTCACATTTGGTCCCACATGTTTACAAAAAATAAAGTTGGTCCCTCATGTTTCAAAAATTAAACACTTTTTGTCATTTCCGTTAATTTTCTGTTAGTACTGACGGAATCAAATGTGTACCCATCATTGCCTTAACTATTCGACTAACGGTAAATTGAAGGAAATGACAAAAGTGTTAAATTATTGAAACATGAGGGACCAAATGTGTTTTTTGTGAACATGAGGGACCAAATGTGAAATTGGTGCAAACTTGAGAGGTGAAAACTTTAATTTTTCCATAATTTTCCCAATAAAGAATAATACAATACAACTTGTGCATAAGACAAGTTTCCGTTTTTCTTTTTCTTTTTTTTTTCTTTTTTTTTTTTTTTTTGTCTTTTTTACCAAAATACGTAGGAAATGTTAATTAATGGCCAACTTGGATTAAATATTATGTCATATGGTAGACTCTTTTGTCACATTTTTGCATCAATAATTTCACAAACAAATGAAGAAGACTTGTCCCAAACTGATAATTGTGTTTGTTTTACAGATCTCACACAAACTTCATTCAACTGGAAGTGGAGTAATTCTTCTTCATATGCATTTGCTTATGATTCTTTTTTTAGTTTTTTATACATAAAAATCCAGTACTACATTACTTCACAATCAAACATTTTTGTACATAGATGAGCTGTTGCTCTTAGAGAAGTTTTGTGAGAGATCTTTGTGTGTGTGTGTGTGTGTGTGTGTGTGTGAGAGAGAGAGAGAGAGAGAGAGAGAGAGAGAGAATGGCTTATGGTGCTGTTTGTTGTCTTGAGCTGATAATTGAGCGCCTTTTGAAATCATCACATATTTCTGTTATTCAAAATTCATCCCCACAGATCTTAAAACATCTGTACGATGAGATTCTTTCCTTAAAAGAAGCTCTTGGAGAATTCGATGAAAGGAGGAGCACCATTAACATGAAGATGGTCAAAACTTTGGAGGCAGGAATCATAGATGCGATATACGAATTCGAAGATGTGCTTGAACCCCATGTCACGAATCAGTTCCATTCGCAATCCGAAAAAGAGACCAATCATCCTCCATTAATGGTATACTCAGTAGATCTGCATGAAATAAAGCAAGATGTCGATTCATTTATCCAAACGATGAACAAGATGAAGAGGGCCTACATTCATGAGTTGCACAACCCTTCCCCCGACGACGAAGAAGAAGAAGAAGATGATAGTTTTGTCTCTTCAAGAATTGATTTTGGTGGAAAAGATGAGTCGTATAACATGGTTGGATCATCCGATCTATTTAAGAGAATCAAAGACCGGCTTACTTCCTCACAATCGGAAACGACGTTTGTGTCGCTCTTGGGGATGGCAGGCATTGGCAAAACTACTCTTGCAAAGAAACTCTTTCAAGATCCCTTCATTGTGAGTCGTTACACCGCACGTGTGTTCGTGACAATAGGCCCGAAATATCGATTTTCGGACATCTTGGTGGATATTCTAAGACAACTGAATGCTCCCGGCATTGATGAAGTAGTGCTTGTGGAAAGCGAAAATGTATTGGGCGAGTTGAAAATGATGGTTTACAAAAGTTTAAAGAATTTGAGGTTTTTGGTCGTGTTCGATGATGTATGGGACAGAGAGCTATATTTTGGCTCATTTCCAAACAACCAAAATGGTAGTCGAGTGTTGCTCACAACTAGGATTGCAGAAGTCGCTCAGTCTGCTCACCCTTTGAGTACTTTCAAAATACCCTTCCTTGATAAGAAAGAAAGTTGGAATCTTCTTCGTGAGAAGGTGTTTGGTGAACAAGAGTCGTTCTCTTATGAACTTGCAAAAGCAGGAAAGAAGATTGCGGAGAATTGTGAAGGCCTTCCACTTACAATAGTCACAGTTGCCAACATCCTTCCCAAAGCTGACAAGACTTTAGAGTACTGGAACAAAATAGCTAATGAGAAACAAAATTCGGTTTACAAGGATGCGTACGATCAAATGTCAAAGGTACTATATCCAAGCTACGACTACTTAGATCAACATTTAAAAGCATGTTTTTTATGCATTGGAGCTTTCCCACAAAATTGTTTGAAATACCCATCACAATTGATCGACTTGTGGAGTGCTGAAGGATTTCTCAACTTAAATGGTACCGATGTTTATATGGGTCAGCTTTTCAGCAGAAACGTTATCCTGTTCGATGCAAAAACATGCGCATATCACCTTCATTCATCCTTTTGGTACATGTGTAACAAGGAAGCTACCAAGACCAAGTTGTTCTATGCCTTAAATTGTCCTGCGGATGCTTTACCAGAAGAAGGTATAAAAAGCAAGCGCCGATTGTGCATACGAAATAATGTTCTACTTGCCATGGAAGATGTGCAAAAATCAATTGCATCTGCTTCAACGGTACGCTCTCTCATATGTACCGGTCCTTTTCATCGTTATCCAGTAAAGTTGTTTTTGGAAGATTTATGGTTGCTCAGGGTATTGCACGCTTATGGTATCAAATTCTACGAATTCCCAATGGAAGTGGTGAAACTAGTTCAACTAAGACACCTCGACCTCGTTTACGGTGGAACTCTCCCTACTTTCATTTCCAAACTTCGGAACCTTCAGCAATTGATTGTTAAACAACATCAGATCATCGTAAAATCCACTGGGAATATATCTTATATGCCTATTGAGATATGGAATATGAAAGAATTGAAGTATCTCCAGACAGCGGGGAGAGACATGCCACATCCATGTGGTGAAGGATCTCTCCTACCGAACCTCTTAAAACTAAATGCTGTCGGTCCTCAAAGTTGTAACAAATACGTGCTCGAAAAAACACCTAATCTCAAGGAATTATCGATTAGAATCGATCTACCTATTGAAGCTAGTGAGCCCTTCAGCTGCTTTGATCACATTTCCCATCTCCATCAATTGAACAAACTACAATGCTATGTTATGAATCCTGTGTTGAAGACGACAGAGGTTGTCACCCCACTTGCCCCTCTTTCGGACATCCCATCAAGTCTTACAGAGTTAATTTTGTGCGGCTTCGGATATCCGTGGGAAGAAATAATCAAGATTTCTTCATTGCCTAATCTTAAATATCTGACGTTGGACTGCTACGCCTTTCGAGGCCCAAAGTGGGAGGTTCTTGGCGACGAATTCCCGAAGCTTGAAAGTCTTCAAATTGAGGGCACTGATCTGGAGCAATGTACGTCTCGAAGTTACTGCTGCCTCCCTGCGATATTGTCCGTTAGGATCGCAAACTGCTACAAGTTAAAAGAGATCCCTCTCGCATTTGGTACATCTATTCGAAGCATGCAAGTCGACGACTGCAGCACGAAGGCCGTCGAGTGCGCAAACAAGATAAATCAGGATTGGGAAGAAAAATATGGTGATAAAAATTTGTTATCTGTTTATGTCCGTTCTTCATGGGATGATTCTCCACAAGGTTAAGTCATTCAATTTTTTATTCTATTTATTAAGAGTGAAATTATAAATATCATTATATTGATCTTGAAATTAAACAAGGGTAAATTCTACTTTCCTCCATTTTACTTTGGTTCGGTATCACTTTATCTCCTTCTACTTTCGATCGCATCGATTTGCCTCCCTTATTTCAAAAATTGTCTCAATATGACCTTAACACTGTTTGATCTAAGCTCTGAAATTAGAAAAATGCCACCTCTCCCATTTTAAATAATTATTAAAAAACAATAAAAAAAAAAAAAAAAATCAATAAAAACTTCAAGACAACGAGAAAATATAGTCCAGGACATCAGCCACAATTTATTTTTAATTTTTTTTAATTTTTTTAATAATTATTGAAAATGTGAGTGGTGGTTTTTTTGTAATTTTCAGACTTAAATTAAACAGTGTGAAGGTCAAATGTCTGAAAACTAACGACGATGGCCACATTGAGACAATTTTTCAAGTACAGGGGGTAAATCGATGCAATCGAAAGTAGAAGGGAATAAAGTGATATCGAGTCAAAGTACAATGGGGAAAGTGAAATTTACCCATTAAACAATTATTACTGAAACTGATTCCTTATTTTTGTTTTCGTGTTAGTCTAGGCAAGAAATAATGCACCGGGATTTACTCGTTCCCCAGCATCAAAGTCAGTCAACATATTCAGTGAAATCAATGAAGCAGCCGATGTGTAAGCAAAAATGGGGGCACTTATGATGAAGAAAAATGCTGTATTTTTTGTAACTTGTAATATTATACATGCGGTTTGTTTTTTGTTAAGAGAAAAGGTTATTTTAGCTTGAACCAAAAGGCGAAACCCCTCTCTCCCGGGGCCCATCCCCTGGATTGGTAGTTAAGGAACTTTTGTATACTACTCAAATATTTATTTCAATATACGAACTTTTGTATGCTATTCAAAAATCGCTTCTTTGGATAAGCGATTTACGTTTGGTTTTTTTTTTGGCTTGACTATTCCAAAATTATTGAACAATTTTATGATAAGCTATTTCTTGACATGTTGCATATCTCCTTCTTGGATTTAGATCAGTCTTCATTGTTGACTGGGAGAATAAGAGAGGAGGAATTGGTCGGAAATAACAGAAGATCGATGAGAGAAATGGAGGAAAAATTGGAGGAATCGAAGAAATTAGGTCTTGTTGATTTTAAAAAGACCGAAAAGCCCCTCAAAATCCCACGTGCAGCATGCTTGTGAGCAATTCAGGCCATTTTGACTTGATAATTCAATAAAAATAAGTAATGTGGTACAACTTATCGAGTACAAGTGAGATCAAGAATCTTTTTTTTTTTTTTTGTTGAAACGGTGATCTGTAAAAAAAGTAATGCTAACTGCGAGAAGTCAAGATAGCTTAAATGATTGGAACGTCTCATTGGACGGGTAGAGGAGACTTGAGTACTTGAGCGGCATGAATACTGACATTCGGCAGCTATTGTTTTTACTTTCTTTTATGTTCAATAAAACCCAATAGTTTATTTAGTTGAATTTTTAAAGAGAATAATACAATACAATAGTATATTTTTTTATTCAGAACGAATTATAGTAAGCATTTTCTAGGAATATAATTAGTATTATTTGTTTCAATGGCCCAAGCTGGAAGTCGTCTTTCATTTTTAGCACCCTGCTAGTCAATGTCATGATTTTGACCTTTTACTTGATATAAATTTCACACACAAATAATGCCTATAATATTAAATATATTGAAATTAATTAGAAATTTTAATTGAAAATCAAAAGTGAGTCAAGGGGTGCACGATCGCATACTTTTAACTGCATTCTCCTGGGACGACCTGGCGATTGGAGCAAGAGAATTTAATGACTTGAGTTTGAATTTCTTTGTGATCATCGCCCGTAGGCTAAGTTTGTCGCACATAATTAACCTAGTGTGGTTCTCGTATAGTTTTTAAGTTATTACACACTAGTGTAGGTTTACTCAGTATATTTATACTGTTGGCTTCGGGTAGAATTCCAATTTCCATCGGTTCCGATCCGAAAAGTTCTATTTTTCATTCCTACTTCCGAAATTCCGATTTCTGATTTTTTTCGATTTTTTGGATTGAAATTGGAATTATATACAATAAATTAGAAATTTCCGATTCGACTTTTTCCGAAAAACAGACCTATAAATAATAGATATTATATAGGAGGCGGTTATATGCAAGCCCATTTTTTTATAACTTCAAAACCACATAAAGGAGTTTATTAGTTCAAGCCCGTAAATTAATTTAATTTTATTTCATCAAGACCAAAGATGACAAATATACCCTTATCCACAAATAATACTCAAATACAAATAAATTCTATTTTTAATTTGTTCAAGACCAAAAATAAAAATAAAAATAAAAATAAAACAAAAAAAATATCACAACTGCCGCCGCCAGACCGCCGCGACGCCGACCGGCGAGTCCTTTTTACTAAACTTTTGTTTGTAAATTCGAAAACATTAATCGAGCATCGATGTCCTTTTTACTAAATTTTATTTGTAATTTCGAAAACATTAATCGAACATCGATTCTTGATAAATATGTATGAATGAACATTAATCTATGCTTATTTCTTGTTGGGTTGCAATGATTTTGCCGATTTTGGAAAAAAAATTGAGATTGAAATTGGTTTTTTTTTTCTTTTTCGTTGGTTCCCCAAATCGGTTTACCCAGACCGATTTTGTACACGAAAATCGGCGTCATAATGCCGATTTTTGTTAACCAAATCGGCGACACAACGTCGACTTTACAAGTCAAAATCGGCGTTCTAATGTCGATTATTGAGTACAAAATCGGTTTTCGGATACCGATATTTTTCGGATTTTTTTTTAAATAATACATTATATATTTGGTTAATTGATATTTTTCACATATTTGAAACGAAAATTTTTATCACCATTCGGTGGCGTCTACCAACTCCTTTAACCCAACTGAGTAGAGCTTTCCGTGTCTCAAATATTTATTCGTTAGATAATTCATTTGAATAGTCCTCTATCAATCCCCTAGGTTGTTGCACGAAAGTATGAGAAAACGGTCTTAAAAAAACACAGATAATAAAATCGGTACTTAAAAACCGATTTTTGTAGTATAAGTCGGCATGACAATACCGATAATACAAAAATAAATCGGTGTTGTCATGCCGATTTTTACTACAAAAATCGGTTTTTAAGTACCGATTTTTATTAAAATAATCGAAATGTGGTTACCGACTTTAGTAACAAAAATCGGTATTTGCAGACCGATTTTTGGTATCGTCGAATTTTTTTCCCAACAAAAAAAAACGACCCAAAAGCAAAAATAAACGGTTAAAACATACTTCATTGTGTTCTCCACCCTCGTAAACTACCATATCATTGTTTCTGGTTCCATCGTGAATGTTTGGTATGTATTTGATAATTTTGGTGTGTAGGATTTCTTGGTGGGTTTGTGAAGAAGAAGGAGAAGGAGATTTTTAAGTCGTGAAACAAGGAAGAGGAGTTTCTAGATTTATGTATTTTATTTGGTCTTGCACAAAGGAAATGATTTTTTTTTTTTTTTATGTTTTGTGTTTTTTATTTGATTTTAAATTTCATTAAGGGTAAATTAGTATTTTTATGTTGGAGGTCTTGAACTAATAAAAAAATGGACTTGCATATAACCGCCGCCTATTATATAATACTTATTTTTCCGAAAAATACACCTATAAGTTTTAATTTAAGATTTTGACACAACGAATTGTTGTTAGAAGTTTTATTGCATATTATGCTGTGTTTATTTTTATTTTTTATTTTTGAAATGAAATTTAGTCGTTATTGGTTTTACTTTTATCGACATGGATGTTCTTATTTTTGAAAAATTATGAACATATTAGAAAATTTCCGAAGTTTTGAAATTTAAAGCTTATGTGATTTCCGATTTTTTTTCCAAAATTCCAAAATTTCCGGGCCTTTTGGAATTGAAATGAATGTTTGGATTTCGAAAATTTTAGAATTGGAATTGGAATTGATTTTGAACTTCCAATTATTTTTAATTTTTTTTCGAAAAGGCTAATCTCAATTCGATCCATCCAATTTTCACTCCTAGCTGCAGGTTCCTTCGTTATCCAAAAAACAAAGCTGTTTGCGGGTTATTCTTTACCCAAAAAAAAAAAGTATGTTCAACAATTTATCATAAATTAAGTTAAACCAATAAATAGGTGGTAATGTTTAAACATCTCTTGAAAACCTGTCTAATTAATTGTGAACCAAATTATCAAAATTTTATTGACTTAATCTCACTTTACACCCTTGAAACATAGTTTTTTAGTACTTTGCTGTCCAAAAAAATTAATAAATTTGAGTTGGCAGGTATATATAGAGGCATAAAATTGTCGCGTAAAGCCACGTGGAATATGAGAATGCCACGTAATAACAGAACACGTGCCAGCCGTATGCAAACCGGGCCCCCATTTCAAGCAAAACAAGCAAGCCACGCATTAGCAATAATCAAATTGACTAAATCCCAACTAACCCGGCCCGTTTAAAATATTTGATCATATATATCAAACGCCACTTCCATGCCTCTCTATTCTCATCTCATCTAAACTCAAATTAATTCTTCCAACATTCCTATAAATTTGCTCACAACCTCACAAAACAATTAAATTAATCAATCATTTATATTCATAATCAGATTTATTTCATATTTAATCAGATTTAATTTCATGATGAGTACATCAAAAGCAACATTAATCCTCTTCCTCATCATCCTATGCAATTTCTCCGTCCAAGTGGTGTCGGTGGTAGAGGATTGCGGCGCCGACGAAAACGACGGCTGCACCGACAAGAAGAAGGCGTTGCCGCTCAAAATAATCGCCATCTTGACAATCCTAATCAGCAGCATGATCGGCGTCTGCTTGCCACTTGTCAGCCAGTCGGTTCCAGCTCTCAGCCCGGAGCGCAGCCTCTTCGTCATCGTCAAAGCCTTCGCCGCCGGGATTATCCTGGCCACTGGATTCATGCATGTGTTGCCGGATTCTTTCGACATGTTGTCGTCCGCCTGTCTGAAAGAAAACCCGTGGCACAAGTTCCCCTTCACCGGATTCGTCGCAATGCTCTCTGCGATTGTGACTCTCATAATCGACTCCATGGCGACAAGCGTCTACTCTAAGAAACATAGCTCGGGAGCTGTCAAGCCGGAGTCTGGCGGCGAACTGGAGGAGCTGCCGGTGGTGGTGCAAGCTGGCGGCGGCCATTCTCATGGCCATGGACACCACCATGGAGGCAAGTTGGCAGTCGACGGTGCGCAACTTCTCCGTTACCGAGTCATTGCCATGGTTAGTACTTCCAATAACAAATTTAAAATAATGGCAAATTACGGCCACCCTTGAGTTATGATCAAATTATGAAAACCCCATTCATGTTAAGTTACAGTCACCACTCAACTATGTATTATCTTACAAAAGAGCCCCTCCATAGGTAAATTAAGGAATGTTAAATCGGTAAAACCAAACCGAATTTTCGGTACGCCAACATTCCATACCGTTTACCAAACTGAATATACGATTTGGTTCGATAAATAACCGAATTACATAAATTTTATGTTAAATATTTAAAAGGAGGAGTGGTTGTAATTACCCAAACAAGAGGGATTTTTTCGTAATTTGTCCTTCAAATAATCATTGACTATTTTATTATTAAGTGCATTTTGCCCCCAAAATTTGATGCATTTTGCACATTACCCCTACATAAAATGAAATTGCACGGTCCCCCCCCCCCCCCCCCCAAAAAAAAAAAACTCTATTATTTGGAGCACCGTTCTGAAATTGGCTATTTTCGGCCAAACCCTTGCTTGAACTGTGAGCGTGCGATTGGAACGTATTTTATTAGGGGCAAAATAGTCAAATCACCACTTTAGAATCTGATTAACTAAAAAAAAAGGTAATTGGATAAGAAACATGGATTAATTGATGAAGAGTATGCATTAACATGGCAGGTTTTGGAGCTCGGAATAATAGTTCACTCGATAGTGATAGGGCTATCGCTCGGCGCTTCGAACAACACTTGCTCCATCAAAGGACTTATTGCTGCACTATGCTTCCATCAAATGTTTGAAGGAATGGGCCTTGGTGGTTGCATTCTCCAGGTAATTAGTTTATGGGCAAATTGCACATCACCCCTGTAAATTTCTAATATTCACACTTTACCCCCTCAATTTTACAAAAGTGAATGTCCCCCTTCAAAATGGTATTCTTGTTGCACATTGCCCCGATAACAAAACTCTGATGGATGATTAATCGGAATTGAGTATTTTTGTTGCATGTTGCCCTTTCAAATGTTATTTTTGTTGCACGTTGCCCCTTAAAAACACTACTTATTTGCACGTTGCCCCTTTAATATGTTATTTGCCCTCCAAAATTGGCTTATGAAGCAAATTGCAACCAAAATAGTATTTCGAGTGGTATCACTTTTTTTAATTTATTAATTACTATTTTATTTCGATTGTTAAATAATATAATAGAATACTTATTTACCCGCCGTTTCGAATAATAAATAATGCAGGCAGAGTACAAGTTCATAAAGAAAGCAGCAATGGCGTTCTTCTTCAGTGTGACGACACCATTCGGAATAGCATTAGGGCTAGCACTATCCAGCACATACAAAGAGAACAGCCCTCGATCGTTGATCACCGTCGGATTGCTTAACGCGTCGTCTGCGGGACTGTTGATCTATATGGCTTTGGTTGATCTATTGGCTGCTGATTTTATGGGGCCAAAGTTACAGGGAAGTATCAAACTTCAAATCAAGTCTTACATTGCTGTTCTCTTGGGTGCTGGTGGGATGTCTCTTATGGCTAAATGGGCTTGAAATCTTTTACATGTATGTTGTTTTCGAAGAAAACACTCAAATATGTTGTGTGTAATTCATTGTCGTTTAAATAAAATATACCATATTGCAATTTTTTAGATACATGAACTATAAATTTTCTAGTGTAATTGTGTGTCATTTCATGGTTTTATATTGGGCTAAGTTCATTTTGCACCCCTGAATTGGGGTATGTATCGAAGAACTCTTTGAATTATGAAATGTATAAAATTGTCCCTCCGTTCCCAATTCGTTTGTTGTACGCTGATGTGTAGGAAGATATATATAAAATTTACGTACGAAGATGATTTTACCAAAAAAAAATTAGGGCAAATTGCACATATTGCCCTGTAAAATTCTAATTTTTGCACTTTACCCCTTTAAGTTTTTTAAAGTGAATGTTTTGCACATTGTCCCGATAGCAAAACTCCGATGGATTACTTATCGGAATTGAGTATTTTTGTTGCACGTTATCCCTATAAATGTTATTTTTGTAGCCGTTGCCCCTTAAAAACATTACATTTTTTGCACGTTGCCCCTTTAAAATGTTACTTTTGTTGCACAATGTCCTCCAAAAATTGGCTTATGGGGTAAAGTGCAACCAAAATAATTTTTTGAAGGGGGAATATACCTTTATTAAATTGTTTGAGGGAAAGTGCAAAAATGGAAAAAAATTAGGGGGTCAAGTGCATTTTGTCCCAAAAAATTACCCATGATTTGTTTTAGGGCAATTGCATGTCACCCCCTATAAATTTTTATTTTTTGTATTTTACCCCCTCAAAATTTAAAAAAGTGAATGTCCCCTTCAAAATGTTATACTTGTTGGCCGTTGTTGCCCATTAAAAACACGAATTTTCTACAGATTGCACGTTGCCCCTTTAAAATGTTATTTTTGTTGCACAATGCCTACCGAAAATTGGCATTTGGGGTAAACTGCAACCAAATCAATATTTCGAGGTGGGGTTATCACTTTTCTGAATTTTTAGAGGAGAAAGTGCCATAATAGGAAATTTATAGGGGATGAAGTGCAATTTGTCCTTTCTTTTATTATAGTAAAATTAAGGGCAGATAGCATTTTAGCCCCTAAAAATTTTGTTTTTGCACTAACCCCTTAAAAATACAAAAAAGATCGGGTAAAAAATAAAAACAGTAAAATTAATAATAGCGTGTTGACCGAGGTCACATGGAAAAATAATATATATATAATATATATATATATATATATATATATATATATATATATATATATATATATATATTATATATATATAT